GCTTCATTGTGCAGGTTGTAAATTAGTGTTGTAAGCTTTTGCCCCAACATAGCATGGGAGCTACACACACAAAAAAAGCTCTTAACATGTTTCCCCAAAAATAAGACAGGGTCTTATATTAATTTTTGCTCCAAAAATCACATTAAGGTTTATTTTCAGGGGATTTTTTTTTCATGTACAACAGTCTACATTTATTCAAACGCAGTCATGTCATGTCACCTTCTCCTGGTTGCTGCACAATTGTGGAGGGGGGGGTTTCACTTAACTGGGGCTAATTTTGGGGGTAGATCTTATATTACGAGCATCCTGAAAAATCCTACTAGGGCTTATTTTCAGGTTAGGTCTTATTTTCGGGGAAACAGGGTATGTATGGATTCCAATGCTGTACAGAGGGATGTGAATGTGCATCTGTTTTAGTGCCCATCAATTCAATTCACCAACCTACAATCCCTTTTCAGATATGCTCTCCCCACATTGGAGAAAATTGAAGTTTGGTTATTCGCTTGTGGTGGGGGGGAAAGGATGGAGAGATTCACCCAGTCTCATTTTATTTTTCTCTTCGGTAGATAGATAATACAATACCTAAAAACAATCATCCGCAAAGATTAGGATGTATTTATTTTTCTCCAGTGATTGCACATTAAACGGTCCACCATGGATCTGACACTTTGGTGCCTCTCCTCTCAGTTCTTATTGTTAATAAAGGTCTAAAACTTTTTTTCTAATAGGCTTTATGTATCTATTTGTGCTGATTGCATCATGCAGGTTTACCTTGACCCATGTGGCAAGGTTCTAGTTCTATTGCTTAAGGTTCACCTTTTGATCACGCTGTCCAAAACTCCATGCCAGAGGTCAAGGCTGTTCTCTTTCTGCACTCGTACTGCGTTTGCTTGATGAATGGAAAGACTCCATGTAGCAATACCATCACAGTCAGAGGCTTGGAAATATAATTCATTTCCTTTGCTTATCATGCACTGAAAGTGCCTCCGAAAGTGTCCTGCAAAACCATTCTTGTCTAACGCTGAGATGCTTATCATTTTGCAGTTCATATCCGTTAAATATAAAACGCCATTTACTGTGCTGACACTGATTTCATAGGGCTTTCCATTTTAAAACACCACTTCCATTTCCTTGGAATCACCATTAGCTGTTTAATTTTTTTCCTTCACTTTCTGCTCAACGTGTGGGGATGTGGCTTCGCACCGTGTAAAAGAAAAGGACAAAAGCATGTTGTGTAAGTTAGTGTTTTTTTGTGATTATTTGTCTTTTCCAAGAGAGGGAGTAAGACTGGAATGATCTTACCATGCATTCCATCCCTCTTTTTTCCCCCTTTAAAAAAGGGAACAACCAAATTCAAAATCCTTCCAACAACAATGACCTTTATAGGTGTTAGTCATTTGCTACATTCAAGCTTGACATTTCCCTTCAAAGAAACATTCTGTTTAAAAATCATTGGAAATTCATTATATTTTTGTGGGTAGGCATAATGTGTGTTCTCTGCATTGATAACATTTTGTTGTCAAAAAAGTGCGAACTTTTGCTGGTGGAAGCATCCATTGCTATCACCAGTGCTGTGTCGAATATAACTATATGTCATGAGACTAAGGGCACTTTCAGGTGGGGGCAGGAAATTGAAGCCATCTGGCCTTTGTTCTTATTTCAAAGGAGGGAAGGGTGCTTTTTTATTAGAGGGGGGGGAGAGAGAAGTATGCAATTCATCGAGAGTAGCCATCTGGTTCATGCTTAAAAGGTTCTTATCTTTAGTGGAATCATGTTATCTCTCACTTAATCAGTCTTCTGGTCAAAGTAATGAACAGGAGGAGGGTCCGGACAAGTCTTTGGTTTGCTCCAATGTATCCCTCTTTCATTTATTCGCATCTCCCCCTTCCCACCCCCTTCCCTGCCTTTTCCCATGGCTATCTCTTCTTTCAGTTATTCGCATCTCCCCTTTCCCACCCCCTTCCTTGCCTTTTCCCATGGCTATCATTTAGTGGGCCACAGCAACTGTTAAATAAAGTAATACAAGTATCCATACATAGGTTACACAACAGGGTGATTAAGAGCATGCCGAATCATACCAAAAAAAGCAGAAAGGAGTGGGACAGCTCTAAGAAGGGGTGGGAGCACTCTAAACCAAACCACGCGTGGATGCCGTAAACCAAAGGAGATCCAAAGAGTGAGCTAAAATATAAAAAAACTGTGATATGTAGTGGTCTGATTCAGGAGTCCAGCCCCTTTAGCAGCAGGGGTCTGCTAGTAGCCCTACTCCACTGTGAAAGGTGCGGGAGCCCTGCCCTCTTTTCCACCGGTCCTTGCTTCTGTGATTTTTTTAAAGTAATAAGCAACCTTGGTTTCACTGATGCACATGCCACTAAATGTAGATTACAACAAAAGAAACCAGTTTAGAGGTCAAACACGTTCGCACTGTACCATTCCTGTGTGAAAACTCACCTCACTTTCCCATTTGGGGTTTTATGCTGAGCTCTTTATCAGCTCTTTATCAGTTGGTATTCTCTCTCCCCCCCCCCCCCCCCCCCCCAATACTTATGGACCTCCATACAGGCAGTAGGAACTCCTTTGCAGAGTACGGTACAGTTAATGGGGACAAAGAGATGTTTTAGCTGGATGAAAAGACAAAGGGCAGTGGTCTCAGGGCCCCCCCATAGGTTGCTTGACTGCTACTGCCATGATGCTGCACCATTGTCTAGGTTGGCGCAGGCTGATGGGAATTGCAGTTCAATAGCATTTTGAGGCTCACAACCTGCCCACTCCTGCAGAAGGAGAAATGCTCGTATTTCTTTGGGATATTTGCGGTTCCAGTGAACATTGGAAAGCTATTTTCTTACTAAAGAGAAACTCATGTAGTGGCTGGGGTGTTGAGATATGATTGGGAAGACTTTTATTCAACATTCATTTTCAAGCAGAATTTCTGTGTGAATTAGGATGAACCGCCCCTTGTCAAGCCTACCTCAAATGGATTTTTGTCTGCCGTGCTCTCTCCCATTCAACAACATTTTTTCTCACTGTTCTTTATTTTTCTGTTGTTATTCTTCCAAATAATTGCTCCTATACAAACCAACCCTAATAGCAAAGAAGCTAACATTTGCACTTCTGTATATTCGCCATCCACCCACCCTCCAGATCAACAACAGCTAATGGCAAATTCCTTCTGGGGTTCTTATATTTGCAAATGAATGCATGAGATCTTCAGCCAAATTGCACCTCATCAAAGAAACATTTTCAGTAATTGAAATTATGCCAAACAGCTTCTTTGGATTTTTTTTAAAAAGTGCTAATATAATTTAGCAAATCTACAGTTTGTAGGCCCCTACCACTGTAGAAGAATTTCCAGGGATATCTCTTCAGCTTTTCTCATAGCCTTCTCACCTACTGTGGATCTTATTATTCCAGAATGAAGATATTAGTTTTATTACCCCACAATAACGATGAGCCAATTATACCTTACATCAGCACTCACTGTCCAGCAGTGTTCACCAACCTAGCACAGCCCAGTTTGAATGGATTACAAATCCCATCAATAGCAGCAAGCAGAGCTTTGATGTTGCAAGCTAAGATGATGTGAGCTTTGGGGGTGGTTTTTTCAGGAGTGATTTGAAATGTGTTGGACTACAGTGTGCATCCTTCTCCACATAGCATTGCCCCTGGTTTTAATTTGCTATTCAGTAGGAGGGCACACATGTCTTTGCAGGTGTGTGGTGTTTGAAAAGCGCAGCATCAAATCCCAGTGGGTGTGCAACAGTTTGTCACAAACTTCTCTAGATTATGCTGCTCCGTCTCCCAGGTCTCCTTATCATCAAAAGCATTACCCTTATGTAAAGCAAACATTTTAAAGGAATTAAAACAGATGCTCCTCTCACATTTGTCTCCCTGTTACTAAGGCTGGAAGCATTACTTAATTAAACCATGCAAATGAGAATGTTTCAGCACAGTTTAATCAGAGGAGTCAATCCATGAAAAAGTTTTAGAAGTCCTGATGACATGGTAAACAATTTGTTTGAAGCTCTTCATTCAGGATAAGCAGATGATTTCCTCCGGACCTGTTGATATTTCTGTGCTATTTAAACAAGAGAAACAATTAGCACAGATCAAATACACCACTTACACTAGGATTGTGTAGAACTAATCTTAATTTGTTCATTTTTCAAGCAATAAGGTATGTGTGGATGGATTGACTCATGGCTTAATTTACAAATCCAAGAGATATACGTATCTCTAAAGCAGGGATTTTAAACTCAATTTACCTGGGGGCCACTAGAGGCTGAGTCTGGGTGAGGCTGGGCCGCATCAGATTTTCCGCCAAGTGGAGCAAGAGCCCGAGGAAGCCACCCAGGAGTTTCCTTAGCCGATAGACAGGCGGGCTGGCTGGCAGGCTACAGTTCTGGATGGAGGGTGCAAGAGGTGCTGTCTTGGGAGAGAGCCGGTGAGTGAGGCAAGGCTCTTTTTGCTCCTGATAGCAGAGGATGTGTGGGCGCTTTGGGGGGGCAGGCAAGGCGGGGGCTGCAAACTATCATCTGGGGAGCTGCAAATGGCCCCTGGGCCACATGTTTGAGACCCCTGCTCTAAAGTGTAGAAAATACCAAGTTCTATCTTACTTGTGCTCTGCAACTTGGATGTGCCAGGGGCTGTACATTTTGGATGTCACAAAGGGGTAGCAAATTGTTAGTTATTTACTTTGTTGTGTACACATTTCTACTGCCAGTATAAAAGGAAAGCCCTTCCAGAATTTTATGAGCCATACTGTACACAAAAATATTTTCATTGGCTTTGGATTCATACACTTTGACTTGAGTTTGCTGTGGGTAACTCTTACAGTTCTGCCTCAGGCAGCAATATTTGTTGGGCTAGCCTTGCAGCCTGCAATATACACCATTCACTTTGTTGCACAGGCGCTGAACGAAGAGCCATTGACATTCAGCACCAAGCCGTACAGTCTATTACACACCATGTCACTCTCTAAAACTCAGAAATGAAGACTGGAAGATTTTCAAGAAAACTTTTATTTATTTCACAGTGGTTCTTAAACTTCCTTTTACTGAGGTCACTTTTTTCTGGCACATTTGTTTAATGGCAACAAATCAGAACAAAGCAGGAGAAATTCCAGATGGGTCATGCTGTATGATTTTCAGCACAATTGTATGCATGTTTACTCAGAAGTAAGCTCCATTGCATTTAATGAGGCTTAACGTATAGAAACTGTTTAGAATTGCAGAGTTAATGATCTGGCTGAAAGTATGTAGATGATCTGGCAGAAGACATGAATATAGCAAGCTGTTAGGTTTAAAAAAATTCTAAATGAAATTGCAAAAAAATATTTCAGTTCACATCAAGTAAGTACAACATCCAGTGTATATACACCATAACCATGATAGGAAACAATCTTTGACACTGAGGCACTTTATCAGTACAAAACATCCATGGTATCTGGTTGATGATGAAACAGGACCCTAACAGTACAATAAAGTCTAAACTGGAAAAGTGGCACTGTACACTTCCCAATACATTTCACAAAAAGAGAAGTTCTTGGTACATGAATCTAGTCAAACACTTAGCAACATTTCCAAAGAGATCATAATGTTACACACAGATTGTAAAAGCATCTTTTGCCAAGTGGCAATACACTCAAGATACTTTTGACAGAGTGCAGTAGGGGAATAAGGATGGTAGAACTTAGTTACTCTATAACAAAATTGAATTGTGTTCTCTCCCAATATAAGGGGCAATTGAAAGAGTTCAGATCCTGTGAGGAAGTATTGCAGTTGCCAAGTATAAAAAAACCCAGAAGGAAACTAAAACAACTTCTAAACACACACACATACGAGCACACACAGAGCTGAATTTCAAAGTAAAAGTAAAGGACATCCATATATTCCATAGCGTGAAACTTTTCTTAGCAATGTGTAAACATAACTTTAAATTAATACAGGATACTTTTAATATGTAGCCATCTCTCTGTTGTCTATGCACTAGCCATGCTGGCTGGGGCATTCTCGAAACTGTAGTTTAAAAAAAAGTCACTTTTTCAATCTAATTTATGTTTACTGACCCACCACTTTAAGTAGTCTGAGGCCAAAAGTAGAAATTGGGTGTGGGAGCCCCTGGTGTGAGCGTCTTTTTGATCTCCGTCATTAAGATCCATGTATGCAAATATACAAGCAACCTCCACATCCAAAAATGTTCTGTGTTCCTGTCAATAAAGTCCCTCCTGTCTTTGTTTCTTAGAGAACATCAATCTAAAAAATTACTACCTTGATTTCTGCAGACATTTTACTTGTTAGATTAATAGAACTCCTTAAACAATCTGCAAATGTGACCCAAGGGGCATATCACAGTTTTTGTCAGATTATATTATGTAACTTATTCTTCCTTGCTCCATGTTAATAGAGGAAAATTTAATCAAAGCTGGTTAATAATTTAACTCTAATAGGTATTTTGAGGAAATGAACATTAAGAATTTAAACTTAGGAGTGCAATGTGAAACTTTTCAATTAAATGTGCATCAATTAAATACAGATAAATATTTTAAATATATATCTGGATTCACAAAAGTACAAGATAGAATTCTTACTGTGGTTGAAAGGGAGGGGTTTTTTTAAGTTAATTTTTTTGTCAATTTACTATTAAAGTTTTTGTCCCCATTTTATTTATGTTTTTATCCCCCACTTTTTTTCCACCAGGAAGATTAAGGAAGTGTACTTAGCTTTCCTCACATGGTCATTATAACGTTTTTTAGAAGGTAGGTCAGCTGAGACAGAATGATGATTCCAAGGCCACCAGTGAGTTTCATAGCTCAGTGTGAAACTTACCTCTCCTAAGTCTCAGCTGAATACCCCACCCTTTACACAATGCTGGTTTTCTCTCTCATTTGTTGTTTCAACAACCAGAGTTGTGTATTGTTGATTTTAAACAACAACAACAAAAAAACAAATTTAACTGTTACTTTGCCCTGTGGTCTGTTCAAAACACAGAGATCTTCTGCTATTGTGCAGCTTAAACCTCAGGTAAACACTATATTGTCCACTGTCCTGCCCCATTCTGCTACCAAGCAGATTTTTTTTAAAACCAGGTGATCCCCTCGGTTTGTTTTCGAAACCACAATCCATTCACAACATTTCTACCAAGATTAGACGGTATTGCAGCCACCCACCCAATTTCAATCACGTTATTATCAATCTTTCTGGAAGGGAAAGAGATGCTCTGGGAAATTGCTTATGGTAAAGGGTTCTCTGGTATAACAGAGACCAGGCACTTTGCAGACTAAAGCAGTGCAAGCTTTTCTGAATTGCAACCCACTTCAGGTACCAAGTACTACTAGTTTTTAGGGTGCCATAAAACTCCATTGGTTTTGTTGCAAATAAAAGCTGGGTGGGTGGGGGACAGGGACTGGAAAGAAGTCCAGCACCATAGAGATCACAAGTCAGTGATGGACACTGAATGTCAGTTTAGGGTCCTGGCAGTACAGCTTCTGGTTCGTTTGGACCCATTAGAAGCCCCTTTTTAATTAAAATGGCTAGACGCTCTTGCCTGAACAGATGTGTACTAGATGGCTGATTCATCGTTTCATGTTCAGCCCTCATATACCAGAGGCCATCAGACAAACCCTTCCTTGAGTTTTAAAGACATCCTTTTGTCAGACAGCTTGATGGTCTGCCTCCATCTAGGTCAACCAGCTCGAACCCTAAGACCAGCTACATAAACCTGGTTCAAGTATCCACCAAAAAGATCTTACTAGGTTGGTGGACATGAGAAATAGAGCCTCTTTGGTGAAAGTTTCATCCTTACGGAACACCCACCCATGAATGACCACATGGATCCCTTTCTCATTGTTTTTAAACAAGCTACAAAGGCCTGGTTGTTCTGGGCTGTTTTTCTTTGAAGGCCCATCTGTGACTGTTGTTTGCTGTTGCTGCTGTTCTAATGCTTGATGTTGTTTTCCTTTCACATATATTTATATGCTACTGTTTTAACATTTTGCTTTGCAAACCACATTGGAGAGGCTTATCCTCAAAAAGAAGTGTGCATATGCATCTAACAGATTGCATATAAGGATGAATAAGGTGCTAAAATAGTTTGGCCGGTACCACTTAAATACAAATGGAGAAACCCTACAGTTGAATATGTGACCGTGTATAATTGTTTGCAGATCCACTAAATGCTGCAATCCTATAGCAGCATGTTAAAACAGACAGCTTCCTACCATCTTAGATCACACTGAGGTACAAAACAGAAAGTGCAATAGTTAACAATAAAACAAACAAGATACTTTGCAAGTGTCACTACCAGCTATCATCCTGAGGTTGTGCTTTATTATCTATGGAGGATGTTCCAGATTTTCCAAATGTAGATTCTGCAAGAAGGCAGACTGCAGGAATCTACAATCACACATGGCTCTTGTTCACCAGCTCCCCCAAAACACTCCTCATACTTAAGTACAAAATATTTCTGAATTATAATAGCATAATTTAATGCTCACAAGTTGACATTTGATCAAATCCAACAGCAAACTGCAAGGTCACACAGACATTCTCAACTCTGCAAGAAAAAGGGGAAAGTATGTCACTACAGTTCATTTACAAGCCAACTATGGAGCATGGCATGTTTCCGTGAAAATAAGACCTAACCTGAAAATAAGCCCTAGTGTGATTTTTCAGGATGCTGGTAATATAAACCGTCCCCCCAAAATAAGCCCCAGTTAAGTGAAATCCCACCCTCCACCATTGTGCAGCAACCAGAAGAAGATGACATGGCTGTCTTTGAATAAATGTAAATTGTTGTACATGAAAAAAAAAATCCCCTGAAAATAAGCCATAATGCATTTTTGGAGCAAAAATTTATATAAGACCCTGTCTTAGTTTCGGGGAAACACGGCACATATACAAAACAAGCTACTGATGGCATTTATGTGCCTTTGTGATGAAAGAGCAGGGGGAAGATTTCAAAAGCCCACATGAATAAATGAGGTGGCATTACTCACTGATGAAAGAAAAATTAGGCTTGTCACTTCGGTTTTGTCTTCATTTAAAATCCATTATTGCTTTTCTGACATTCGACAATTAATAAGGTATAATTTAGTATACAAAACAAGCTACTGTTGGCATTTATGTGCCTTTGTGATGAAAGAGCAGGGGGAAGATTTCAAAAGCCCACATGAATAAATGAGGTGGCATTACTCACTGATGAAAGAAAAATTAGGCTTGTCACTTCGGTTTTGTCTTCATTTAAAATCCATTATTGCTTTTCTGACATTCGACAATTAATAAGGTATAATTTAATTTTGTCTGCTTTAACCTCTTCCATTCAAATGGCTTGTTTCTCTTTTTCTTGTTTTATTTAAAGAAGCAGCAAAGGAGGGAGAGAGCTGTAGGGCAGAGGTTGGGGACAGTGGTCCTCTGAGTGCTTTTGAACTCCAGCTCCCATTAGCCCCTGCTGACATACTGAATGGTGAAACTTTCAGTTTGATTGATTTGATAACCAAAAATATGTAAAATATTGGTGCCTTACTCAGAATGTTAAAAACTTGTGTTCCAAGAAACCATGTTCCAAGATATGTCCAAAAGAAATCCCACATAACAATCTTGTCTATAACTCTAGATTACCAGCAGCAGGTGCATACATTGTGCAAAACAGGGAGACCTTTTGCTTAATGAAGTCCTAGACCAGTGGTGGCAAACCTTTTTGGGCTTGTGTGCCCAAACTGGGGAGAAAAAAAAACAGTGGGTGGTGTGCCGCCCACCGGAAGTTTAAATTGCTTTTAATAGTCAACATTCAAGCAGACGAAGGTTCTCAGAAGAAAGCAGAGGAAGGAAATGAAGAGTTTCAAATACCTGGGAAAGACTGGGGGTGGGGGTAAAACTAGCTGCAAGCAGCTTGAAAAGAAGACTGGCAGATGAGATCATAAGGGGGGGGAGGAGTGCCACTGAACTCTGCCACCAGAAGCACGGGAGATTGCACACAAATGCACGCGCGCACACAGCCCAGAACAGCACAGCCAGTGGGAAGATCAGCTTTGGCACCTGTCTTGGAATGAGCAGCTGCAGGAAGCTTGCTTTCTCCCTTTCTCTGCCCCTTCCAGAGGGAACTCTGCCCCAGCTGTGGAGCGGAAGGACACTCTTGCCTGTCACAGGCCAGAGGAAAACAGTTTCTGAGGAACTGCATTTCCTCCTTTCCCAGACAGCCAGCGATGGAAGATTATTTTGGCTCTGAAATTGGATACCAAAACTTGCAAGCCACCTCCCTTGTGTTTCAGTGTCACAAAACCTATTTCCTGCAGGAAAACAGAAAACCAGCGGCGACGGAAGGGGGACTCCTGGGCATGGCCCCAAGACCCCACTCCAGATCCGCTGCCAGCACCAGCTGCTCCAGATCCGCCTGCCAAAGTGCCAGCACCGTGGCTGTAGCCAGCATCTCGGGGGGGGGGCAGAGTTGTGATCTGTTGACCTATGGTTCGCGTGCCAGCAGAAAGGGCTCCACGTGCCAGATGTGGTACACGCCCCATAGGTTCACCATCACTGTCCTAGACGTTCAAATAAAGTAGGGGTGAGGCAATCTAGGCTGTTGGCCTGATTCTAAAAGATCTTAACAAGCATCCAGGTCAGGCCCCTGGCAAGAGTGATCTGATCTGGTCTGGTGAAGACGACGTGGGGGGGGGGGAGGTGCAATCAGAAAGAATTTTCACAGGATTTTTCCAGGGGAGCAGGAGCAAACCTCCACAGTGCTATAGAAGCATAATACTTACACTTAATGCACACTGGTCTCTGTCTGTATACATTAAAATAATCAGTAAACCTAGGATTCTGGGATGGCCATCACAGAGAAAGCCAAAGGAGGGCCTAATCAGTTTTGATCCTGGCACTACCCATCACTGGCTTCAGCTTTCAACAGAATACAGTGGGGTCTCGACTTACAAACTTAATCCGTATTGGAAGGTGGTTCTTAGGTCGAAAAGTTCTTAGGTCGAATCTGCATTTCCCATAGGAATGCATTGAAAACCATTTAATCTGTATGTGCTCTTTTCCGTCCATAGAAACTAATGGGAAGCTGCTATTCCGCCTTCTGCCACTAGAGGGGGATATTTTTTCTTTTTTCCCTTAGGTTCAGGAAACGAGGAGGAAGGCAGGGAACAGTTTGCAAAGCACTTTAGAAAGCTTTTTTTTTCAACGAAGCCAATTTTAAATCATGTTTTAAAGCATGTTGTGCTGATTTTTTTCAGCACAAAGACACACAGGCGGGCTTTTTAGGTGCTGAGCAAGCCTCCCCAAGCCTCTTCAGAGCTAGCCCATCAGCTGATAGGCGGGGAGAGGAGGGGGCAGGAGTGGGGGGGCAAAGCACAAAATGGCTGCCAGGCTCCCTTCTGGGTGTCGGCTTTTAGCTGTTTCCTGCTCTTTTTCCTGCTGTTTGGGGGCTACTAAGGCCTGGTAAGTGACTTTCTTTTATTTATTTTTAAGTTTCTGACCCCTTTTTCCCCTACAGAAGCCTCTAAGGGGAGGGAGGAGGCACTTTTTTCCCTGTACCTAACTTGAGGGAAGTTTGTATGTCGAGTCCCCTGGTAAGTGACTTTCTTTTATTTATTTTTAAGTTTCTGACCCCTTTTTCCCCTACAGAAGCCTCTAAGGGGAGGGTGGAGGCACTTTTTTTCCTGTACCTAACTCGAGGGAAGTTTGTATGTCGAGTCCTTATTTCCCCTATAGGGCGGGTTCGTAAGTTGAATTGTTTGCAAGTAGGGTCATTCGTAAGTCGAGACCCCACTATCCCTAAGGAAATGAAGTCCTTCATCTGTTCCTTCCTCAGCAATCTGAGTGGAGAGTGGGAAAGAGAGGAATGGAGGCACTTTTTTTCCTGTACCTAACTCGAGGGAAGTTTGTATGTCGAGTCCTTATTTCCCCTATAGGGCGGGTTCGTAAGTTGAATTGTTTGCAAGTAGGGTCATTCGTAAGTCGAGACCCCACTATCCCTAAGGAAATGAAGTCCTTCATCTGTTCCTTCCTCAGCAATCTGAGTGGAGAGTGGGAAAGAGAGGAAGCGGGGGGGGGATAGGTTATTTGAAGTAGAATGGGATGGGGAAGGAAGAAGAACAGAGAGATAGTGCTGTTCTCACCACTGTGAAGGAATAAAACTTACCTTGGGCTAGTCGTAGAGGCATTTGCCAAACTGCAGCTTGAGGATACCTCTCCCATGAAGCTGAAGAATCTGGCTATACTCTTTGGGCATGGCGTGGAAGCCAGGCTTCGGTAGCTGGTTGTCATAATAATGGTGGCTGATGGGAGCACCTCCTAGACTTTTTGAGAAAGGCCAGAAGCCGTAGAGCTTCACGCTCTCACAGAGTTCCACAGCAGCACTGGTGATCATGAAACCAGAAGACAATCGGTAGGCTTTGACGCCTTTAGTCCTCCAGAACTGAGCAAGATTTTTGAGGTATTTGGGATAGAAAAATATGGCCGTCTGCTTTGCGCCGAACTCTTTCAACGTGTGGTGCACTTTGAAAGAAGCTGCTGTGTTGCTCCGGAAGGAAAAGGCTGGTAAGAGAAGGAAAGCTTCCCCGTAGCTGGCAATGTTTTCCAGGAAGGTGGCTTTCTTCTCATTCAGTTTATTATACCTGTAAACATACAGAGGCTGAGGGAAATTCTTAAATGGTTACAGGTGCACTGGGTATTAGTGAACGATGTCTAGTATTCTGCTCTATGAGTCTCTCTGAGGTAAATGACAGTTTACTTTGAGTATCTGCTCTGATTATCCCTAAACTGCTCAACTACATTTTTAAAGCTTCTTAAAACCTGCCACCTGAGCAGGTTCCTTCCACAATCAGTGTAACATGAGAAGACCAGCTTGCCTAAGACTGTTGTTACTGACTAGACTAACTGCTTGGAAAAGTTTGACTCTGGGAGTTACAGATTAAAAAAAAACATTTTCAGACACGGGAGTAAACCATGCAAGTGAAGGTTCTGTGCAAGCAGATCTTTAATCTTCATAAACAATGTTCTCAGTATGAGTATCGCTAAGTAACTTAATTCTCACCCAGTTACCACTGGGGGCAAGCAGACAGCAGAGATTTTCTTTTGCCAACATGTTGAGATTGACTAGCATGGCAACTTCTTTGGACTAGGCAAAGGGTGCTCCATAAGGACCCCACTCTTCCTTTCCTACTCGTTTGCTCTGTATTTAGTCAATGCAGGTAACATAAAACAGCTGCAGTAACAATAAATAGCATCTTGTGCTCAGATTTGACATGAAACAAAACCTTCTACAGTATTTCAGACACCACAGATCTGAAATAGAGCACCAATGCCATTGTTTAAATACATAATTAATTAGTTCCATTATTATCTCACTATATTTATTTATTTATTTATTTATTTATTTATTTAGTCAGTCAGTCAGTCAGTCAGTCAGTCAGTCAGTCAATTCGTATTGTATCCCAGCACTACTCTGGACAAGTTACAACTCATAAAATAGAAAACAAAAATAAAAATACAAATATTAAAACCAATAGCAATAACCCTAAAAAAACAAACAAATAGATGGCTCATGACAATATCCGTGGTTCTCCTTAACTTCATTATGACCTTTGGATCTCCCAGCTTCCAGTTCAACTCTCTAAATACAACATCCCAGTGGCTCTCAGAACCAATTGCTTTCCAGATGGGGATGATGGTGGGTCGACAGGCAGTGTGGTATAGTGGTTAGAGTGTTGGGCCAGGACTTAGAAGATCCAGGTTCAAGTCTCCCCTTAGCCATGAAATTTCTTGGGGACTGAGCAAGCCAGACTCTCTTCATCTGACCTTACTCACAGGTCAGTAAAGATACTGTTATGAGGATACTCTGAGGAGGTGGACAGCCATGTAATTCCAATATATGTGAAAGGCAAATGGTTGGGAAAGTAGGTTTAGACCAGGCTTGTCCAACCGTGGCCCTCCAGATGTTCTTGGACTTCAGCTCCCAGAAGCCTTCAGCACCACCTCTGCTAGCCAGGATTTCTGGGAGTTGAAGTCCAAGAACATCTGGAGGCCCAAGGTTGGGGACCACTGAAAAGCTGTGATTGTTGTAACGCTGCCCTTCCTTGTGGGTGAAAAAAGTGGTTGGAGCAAAAGGGCAATGTACTCCCTCCATCTCCTTCCAAAAGAGCAGACAACTGAAGAACTTTCACTCTGAGTTAGCCTGCCTTCTAAGAGGAAACTTGAGACCACCAATGAAGCAGCTTGAATTCCACAGTCAGGATGCTGATGCACCACACCAGGCAGTCTCTAAAATGGAGAATTAAGTCATTAAACGTGAGTCACAAACAACATGGCAGTCATACTCACTTCTGTGTTATAATGCTTGGGTTAACGGTCACCAGGTTTGTCTTGTTGCCAACATCTTGACTCACACTTCCTTCAGTCGGAGGGAGGCTGCACCTGGAATTTTACAAGAGCCACTTAGAACCTACTTCAAAACATCCTGTTCTTTAAAACATCCTTAATTCCCCCAGACAATAAAATAGATGTCAGCTTAGTCTGGTATCAAATGCTGAAATCACTTACTAGAAAGTAAACCCAGCTGACCATGGTGAAATGGATTTCTCTGTAAACATGCCTAAGATATCTCTGTAAATGTTTTAGACACACCAATTAAGCTTTTAAATTACACTGCATAATGAACTGACATAATGTGCTGATGCCAAGTGCGGTAATAGCCATTGGCTTAGATGGCTGTTAAAAGGGATTAACTAAATGCATAAATATGTAGTAAGAGCCACTAAAGGACAGGGCTGCTCAACAGAAAGGGATTTGAATGGAGCAGAGGTTCCTTTGGTGTTACCAGGATCCCAAAGATCCCACTTAACATGCACAGGAAGCTTTGTGGGCAAAATGGTCCTGTTTGCCATGGTTCTCCCAATGTTAGTCCCCAAATGAAGCATGGGGTGGGGGACAGAAGCAGAACAGATGTCTTCTTAGATCCAGTGGAGCTCACACCCCTTTATTTACCAAGGATCATGACTACCATGATCAAGTCCATGTGCCACACCAGTCTGGAATCTGTGCAACTGATTTCATCCAGTTGGAATCAAGGGCAGGGCACAATAATATTTGACAGGGAATTATTTTTCAAAACCTATAGAATAAGTCAGAGCACAAAAAGTCACTCAACTTGCAGGTTTTGCAACTTGGCCAGGTTATGTAACTTGCATAAAGTGAATTTACAGCCTTGCTTTCTCTCATACTGGGAACAATTTTTTTTTTTTTTGCAATTCCTCATTCTTGCTTTTAAGAAATGCAAAAATGAGACAAGGAAGGATTTACATCCTTAAAGAAGAGTGGATTGCTCATTTATATATTTATTTATTTATTTCTCACAGCTTGGTTTAGAATATCTCACCTAAAGACAAAGTCAGATTTATCAATTTCTGCTCCACAATTGGAGTTCTGCAGGATCCCACCGTTTCCAACCACTGCACATTGCTTGAAGGGATAATTCAGAGGCTGTGACTAAGAACAAAAACAGCATACTGATATTAAAATTCTACAGCAGGATTTGGCCCAGATTTTTTTTTATTGTTTGCAAATAGAAATGCATTCCTTCTAATTTTTCTGAATTTCTCTAATTTCTTTCTTTGTTTTTAAGATACACCAGTTATTTGTGTATTTTCATTCTAATGGATAAATCTTTATACAGATCTATGGAAGAAAGAACGCCTCCTCAGAGTTTAGAAAAGTTATTTTTTTGAACTACATTTCCCAAATTCCTCCATCCAGCATGGCCACCTGTCAAAAATGTAAGTTTTCCAAAATTGTTGCACACATGTATCACCTGCTTATGTAACTTCAAGCAACTGTAATTAAAGAAATGTTTTCTATTCTTTCTCCTGCAAATGGCCCAGAGTGGGTTACTCAGACTTTCAGTGCTAGATAATGAAAAAGGGGTGGACTCTGGGGAACTTGTAGGTATTCTCCCCTGTGGACCTCTGTACTTCTGTTGTGTAGCAAAAAGAGAATTTTACCAGAAAACCAAAACTCTGCAACAATTTCTAGCTGCAGTTCAAGCTCTCTCCCTAATGCCCCCCTCCCCCCTCATCATGGTCTGGTATTTGGAAGCAACATGTTACAAGAAATGATGTAATTCATTACTTTAGGATGTATATAGGGGGCAAAAACAATACATTTGCAAAATAATGTAACAACCGGTAATACTATTTTTGTTAACAATTTATTAATTGTTCTTTTTCTGGGGTGTAGAGACTAGCCTTTACTCTTTTAAAATTGCTTTGTGCAGGCTGGGAGTGTTTTAGCCATTTTCACATTTTTAACCTTAGTTTAAAAATATTAAAATCCACCTCAAAATTAATGCATTATTTACACATCAATAACACTTTCAGTAGCAAATCAGGAGCAATACAAATTAGTCAATTAAAAAAAATAATGAGAAACAGATTACTTTTTGAATCCATTAAAAAACAATTAGCGAGAAACAGAATTACTTTTAAAAAATAAAATTGCAAGCTGTGTTTCCACCACTACCCAACACCCCTGCACACACATACACAAATCAATATCTGCACCTCCTAATCATCACTACTGTATTATATGTTCAGTTGCAGCTCACAGTCCAAGCAGGATAGTGATAATTATGTTTCATCCCCCTAATTCAGGTCGGGGCACCCTCCCAGGCTTTGAATTGCTGATGAACCTACTGCTCTCCACAGAGTTGGTCAGAGCCAAATGCCAGTCTTTAACTGGTCCTTCCTCAACGTGAGACACTATGAGTGGGATGCTGCGAGGGTTCATTATCTTTAAAAGGTTTTACCCCCCTTTACTCTGATGTCTAGCCCGGCAACACACAACAGTTCATCATGAATTATACCAACAGGATTTATTACAGGTGCATCTAGAAAGTGTTCAACAGTGATAGGAATAGGTAACTTCTCTTTCTCACACAATGGTGTGAGGAAGGGCTTAGCTTCTGGTTTCTCAAATGGATTTGGAACAGCAAAGTTCAACAGTTCAAAACCCTTCTCCAAGGAAAAGTCCATCAACATGGCGTCTTGTGGAAACCAACAACAGGGGCACTTCGTTCCCTCAAGATGCCCTTGGTGTGGCCCTGCTCTCACATATTCCCAAGTTTTGGGGGCTCAGGTAGTATAGCTTCTGAGAGCTGATGCCATCTACCCCTCTCTCTCCTTTCTTTGCCCAGGCAGGCTCTCTTCTCCCTGATCTTCTTTACCCATTCTTGAGCCTCCTTCTCACCCCAATAAGAAGGCTTTCAGGCTCTCTCCTCCCTGATCTTCTTTGCCCATTCTTGAGCCTCCTTCTCACCTCAATAAGAAGGCTTTATTGGCACCACCTCTTGCCGTCTCCTCTCAGCCTCTTCTCTAGGTACCATGAGCTGCTCCCATTTCTTTTTCTAGGGATTTTCTAACCAGATCCATTCCCCTCCTTTCCTCAGCCTTCACTTCTATTTTCCCTTTTCCCTTCTTTCTTTCCCGCCTTTTCCAACTGACTCCCTAGCTCCACCCCTTTCTGTCCTGTCCTCTCCGGTTTTCTGTCACTCATTCCCTGTCCTGGACCTGTCATTTTGTCTCCTAGACCAGCGATGGTGAACCTTTTTGAGCCCGAGTGCCCAAACTGCAACACAAAGCCAACTTATTTATATCAAAATGCCAACATTGCAAGTAAACCTGAATACTGAGGTTTTAATTTAGAGTAAACCTGAACACTGAGGTTTTAATTTAGAAAAAAACAACTGCTCAGCACCTCAAGGGTTAAATGCTTGTATGTTTTTTCCCCCTAGTGGCATTATTAACAGATAAATACTTACCGGTCCTCCAATCCCCCATTGGGATTGGAGGCCATTGCACCCCTCCACTGGACCACTGCACCAGCAGAGGGGAGTGTCGAAACTGGAGAATGGGTATGTATTTTTAGAAGGCAACGTATGGCTCATGTGCCCATGGAGAGGACTCTGAGTGCCAGCTGTGGCACGTGTGCCATAGGGTCACCATCGCTGTCCTAGACCATTCAACCTCCCTGTCTGATCGACTACTGTACTTCCTTCACTATCGTCACTAACGTTTTCTCTTTCTTCTCTCGCTTCTCCGTTGAAGGGGGTGTTTTCCTCTCAGTCATGGGGATCCTGGGCTTGGGCTCACCACTCGCTCCATGAGTGAGGGATGGTGCTGCGGTAGGGATGTTGCCTGTTCTGCCATCCTTCTCACAGATGCCCAACAAATCTTCCCCTCTCCTTCACTGCAACTCCATATAACCCCCAGCTTTTTCTAAAGATTGTCAGGGCTGTAGTGGTCAGAAGAATGCACCATGAATGTGGAAGTGAAATAAGGATGTAAATCCATGGGGTTTTATTCATTTCATGAAGACAAGGAAGAGCAACAATGTTCTCTTCCTTGCTGGTGAGTGAGTTTTTACCCAATCATTAAGGGTTCTCACAATGGCCAGAACTCTATGCACAAAAGCAAAGGAGAGGTTGCTTTTGCTTTTCTGAACAATCAGCTTTTTGGTGCTTTCTCTATCCCTGTGTGTTTTGCTTCTTAAGGAAAAGGAAAACTGGTTTTGTACAGTGATATTTTGCATGTAATACAGAGACCTTGATGAGAGAGAAAAAAGCACACTCTATGTCACTCTCACACTGGAGGCGAGAAGTCTCACAAGGCTTGGAGAATCCCTGCAGAGGTGCCTCATCTAATGAAAACAGTCCAAATAAACAAGGAGGATTGTGTCAAGTACTCTTTATAGCTGTAATGTGAAGTCATTCCAGCTGGGGTAAAGGCATTTGTACTAGCGCAATACTGTGCAACTGTGGGCAATTTTCCTATCCCAGTACAAACCTGTACAAATTACAATATAGCCCCAAATGTTGAGTAGCTGCCTATCCCCAGAGAAGGGGCAACAGAAAGGAGGAGGGGGAAAGGAAAATTGGTGGTGGGTCTTTGGCTCTGCTTCACCATTAAACACCAGAAGAAGAGGAAGATGACTACGATAACTGTCCTCTGCTTGCACAACCAGTAACTACAATCCAATATAGAAAATGAAATTACATATTTTCTTTTAAATGGCACACCTATAGCCATTTAAAGGGACAAAGGAGCTCTTATTACCTTTGGCAGCATCCTGAATATTTCCTCAGTGATGTGGATGGTTTTCTTATTGTCTACTTCATAACTCATATTGCTACCCAGTGGGGTATTGTCTTGAGACGCAATAAAGTTGTGAATGGCATTACAGCATGAAGCAAGTTCTGACCTAGAAAGAAAGAAAGAAAGAAAGAAAGAAAGAAAATTAAGTTACGGTGAGATTCATGCAATATGAGTTTCAAGAAAGACTGATTTTAAAAAGGTTTACAATGAATCTTATAGAGCATTGGTGAGAGTCATGCAATACAAGTTTCAAGAAAGAAAGATTGATTTTAAAAAGCTTTACAATGAATCTTATAGAGCATGGAGAGAAATGTGACTTTCTGCTCCTGGACTTTGGAGAATCTCTAGAATATCTCCAAAACACACACAATCCCAAAAAAGTAACTGAAACTGCCCATATGGACACTTTCTCACCATTTTTTCTTTTGTTAGTTTTGACTATTTCTAAAAAGTTTGCTTTAGCCCACTGTGAGGGCTGGGGACTGAATTTTCCCTCAAGTTCTCAGATCTTGCTCACATTTGACCTAAATATAAATAGCACGGAGTTCAATGAAGTTTGCTTTCAAGGCACAGAACGGCAACCTCAATCAATCACTTCAAGAAGTCAATAAGGACAAGACAAGAATTTGGAATTGGATAAGAAAAATGTTAATCAGACAGAATCTTATTGTTTAGCACAGTAAATTGCACTAGAGTAGGCCTATGGATTTGAGGAGTTAATTCCTCTATAGGTTCCATTGATTTAGCTGTGATTTACTTTAGCCAAATCCCCAAAGGACTTAGTACAATTTATTCCACTAAGCAATAGGATTTGGGGCACTGGGTTAATCAAGAATATTAAATGTTGCTATTATATCCTTCTGGTGCTTAATGTGCAAATATCACCATGAACATGGCCCAAGATAACTAGTATTAAGACATAGTAGTACTCCATGAAATTGAACCCATGAAGTTCATCATTTGGTCACCTCTCCTTTCTGGAATTCCAGCTTTAGATCTTTTCATTTTATGGAATGGAGTCGTCTCCTTTTTTTAAAAAAATAGCATTCTACAACATTTACGTCAGTTTAAAAAGAACTGAAGTGCTACATAGCATAGTTTGTGCTTTCTACACATACAGTATTTAAACCTCAGAGGAAATGGCTTTGTGATGGATAACATTCATTAGCAAAGATACTGCATGCTTCCTCTTTATTACTCCCATCTTGAAAGAAAATACTTCAATGTAACCAGAAATAGTCTGGCATATTTTTTTGAAATTACAATTAATAAGAAAAGAATAGTTTCCAATTAATGTCATGCTTCAGTTGATGTAAAATGCAAGCAGGCAATACTTCATTAATCTACAGCATCCAAGAAACTTAGCAGATAATGCAAAAGAACATTTGAAATTATTCATTTTCTTTCCTGAGAAATTAATAAGTTCATGTCAAAATTAATGTTGATTATGAGGGTCTTGAGCATTTGCAGTTATACATATTTTTCTCTTTGAAGATCATATATTGGCCAAAATCCAATTGCTCATTATAATGACCTGCACTAGAGTAAGCCCACTGAATCAGTGGAGACTTTGAGAATCAACTCCTCTGTAAGTTTCATTGATTCCAATGGGCCCACTCTGTCTGTGATGTACTTTAGCATATTAAGTCACAACCAGAATACGACCATTGGAATCAATGGAACTTACCGATGAATTAATTGACTCACAAAATTCCTATTGATTCAATCAGACTATTCTAGTGTGACTTACTATGTTGAGCAACAGGATTTCAGCCTAAATGATCAGATTCTCCGCCCCCCCCCGCCCGGTACAACTCCTGAGCCCTATCCACTCAGTGCCTTGGAGTTTGTCAAAGATTATTACTATTACTTATTACTTTGGGCTACACGGACCACAGGAGCCAGCGTCTTTTTTAAATTTCCTCTGCTCCTCCAGAGAGGAGCTGAAGAAGTGTTTACATTGCCAATATCCTGATGTCGCTCTCCCTCTTAAGCCACTTCATGATATGCCAAAACGATAGTAGAAGGAGCCTTGGAAGATGAAGGCTCACTTTGGTTCATTTCCAGTGACTGCGCACACTGGAAATGAACCAAAGTGGAGCAATCCTACCCATATCAAAAAAGTAGAAGCCCCCGACAGGAGCCCAGTAAGGTGCAAGTATGAATTATCTGGGGACAGGCTGGTTCATTCCAGTGATTACATAGTGTGATCACTGAGTAAGGTGCAAGTACGAATGATCTGGGGACAGGCTGGTGCATTCCAGTGATTACATAGTGTGATCACTGGAGAAAGGAGCAGATGAATCCACCCCCATAGTGGATCAAACAGCAAGCTAAATGCCTATCTGATCACATCCTAACTGTTTGACCTAAGAGAGGAGAAAGCAGGTTGGGGAGGGAATGTTATACAATATATAACCTTTCCCCTATTTTGCTTCAACTGTGTTACCTGGAGTCATTACTCTACCCTCCAAACATTTGTGCAAAATTAAAAATGCTTCTGTGCAAAGTGGGAGGAAGAGGCAGCTGGGGATGACCTCAGGTGGGAAAGTGGCAAGCATGTGAAAGGGATAAACACATCCTCCTCCAGCTGCTTCTCCACTTGAAATAATCTTCTCCTGAATCCATATCTGTTAGACAGAGTTGCTCTGCCCGGATGCTCTGCCCTATGGCATCTCCTCTTTTTCTTCAGCCATTTCTCAGCCCAAATCATAGCAGCCTGGATTTGAGAAAGAGGCCATTAATAATAACCTTTAACCTTTGAACATGCATAAAACAGGATGCTCTGCCCTCTGGCATTTCCTCTTTTTCTTCAGCCATTTCTTCAGCCCAAATCATAGCAGCCTGGATCTGAGAAAGTAAGAGCCATTAATAATAACCTTTAACCTTTGAACTGCAGAGCTCGAAGGGACTCTATGGACCATCGAGTCCAGCCCCTCTCAAGGAAGCACAGTGAACTTCCAACCTCTAGCTCTACAGCCAGAGACGTAAGCCACTGAGCTTACAGCTGAGCTATCCGGCAGTTATAAATTTGTCAATATTGACCTAAACACAAAAATGTAGGTTAATTAGTACAATGTGTGGTTCGCTGAGCAGCCAAAGCAAATCGATTGGTGGCTGTGGCCGGTGATTGACACATTCTCCATTTCAAACTTTCTGTTTTAAATGATGTGTCAATGAACATTTGTCTGTGACAAATGTCAAGCACTCTTTGCACGCCTACCACTTTGGGCTGCTTGTTAATTAAATATTGGTCTTCCTGAAAGTTAAATCCAGTGTCAAATAACAGACAGGATGAATATGGCACAAAGGATTTCAAAAAAAGCAAATCACTAGTAGTGATGAAAGCAACATGAGCCCTTTATCTGTTATTAATATTCTGAATGCACAGTAAACAGCTTTAATTTCTGCTTTCAAGTTACTATTTCATGTTTAGATCAATATTGACAAATTTGTTATAGATGTGTATATATTTTCTTGACTGGTTTTGTTTATGGGTTTTTCTCCCTACTATCAATTCATATTATTCTGGTTTCCTTCAGCCTATTATATTTATGGTTGTTTTTTCTGCTTTGCAAAGAAATGCAGACTTCACACTGATCACATATCTTCTATGGGATGTGCCATCTGGATTTTTTGGATTCCAACTCCCTAAATGCTCTAAGAATTCCTCAGGAAGAATTCTAGGAGTTCCAATCTATGGATATACAGCTACAGGCACCTACACATTGTTGTAGAGTTTTTAATATATAGCAAATATATATATTGCTGTGCAGTAAAAGTACAGAGACTCACAGAAGAAATTAGTTTCAGGTTCTCCAGAGTCCACCCCTTTCTCATTAACTGTCACTTAAGTCTCAGTAAGTCGCTCTGAGACATTTGTAGAAGAAAAATAATTTTTAAAAGTTCTTTACATATAATTGCCCGAAGATACAGACTTGTGTTTGCTGCTTTTTATTTACTGTACACATACTTAGCAACCAACTGAACAGATCAACAGCAAACAAACAACTGCCACCAACCCAGGAAAAAATGGAGAAGAACATTCAGAAAAGGGACAGGTCCCTCTTTGAAATCGAAGGCTGGAAGGAAGGAACAATTGGTTAATGCTGGACAGACAGACAAACACCCCAGCTCAGAAAAATCCATCCCAATCAAACAAACTACAGGCAGCACGCGAAGTTCCAAATAAAACTCCAACATATTTCACTAACCTGGACCAGGGCCTTGTCTCAGAGGTTGCATGACCTGGCTGCAGCCTATTTCCTGTGTTAATGGACAAAAAAAGGAAGATATGCCTGTGCTTCTTGGGCAGTGTAACACTTTGGGGAGTGCATGCTTTAGAGCCTAAAGGGCAGTGAGACTACAACCCCCAGGAAGCACCATGGCAGTTTCCTTCTTTGTGCATTAACACAAGGAAGTAGGCCCAAAACAGGTGATTCACTTCCAAGGTGAGGTCCTGGTCCAAGTCAGTGAAATGTCTGCAGATGTAGATCTATGGCCTAGAATTCTCAGACTTCTTCCTGCGGAATTCTCGGAGATTTCTGAGAGTTGGAGTCCAACAAATCTGAACAACACATCCCTTTATCTTCATGTGTCTTTGTCTCCTGTACCACGATGATGATGTCCTACCAGAAAACAAAGAGCAGAATCCTATTGGTAGTCCTAACTAGTGCACGGCCCATTGAATTATTGGGATTGTTAAAAGTGTTGTCTTACCATTCTTGTTGGGACTCTCAAATAGGATTTAGGTCATAGTTGGGGTTCTTTCTCATAGTTTTGCCAGTGCTCAGTAACATGTAACACTGGCAAAGCCAGCTCAAAGGTCAATGGCAATTTTCATGTCAGATTATGTGATGGAATGACTGAATTTACATCTTTCTCTGATTCCAGGCAGCCTCCATATCCCCCCCTTTCATGATTAATTCATGCTGATCTACTATAAATCACCAGGAGGTCTACTAGTAAATCATGATTCATACCCAGCCTGCCTCTGGCCTACACAAATAAAATCTTCCATGACAACACGCCAGAATTAAGTAGGTGATGTATCTCAGAAATGCTGGTGAAATTCTGTCTGACATGTGTTCTCTTTTATCTGTGTAGCTGACTAGCTATATGATGATAGCCGGTAGGCTGGCCATAACAAAGACCAGACAAGAGTGTTTCTACCTTTAACAATAGCATGGAAATGACATGGTCAGTAAGGAAACCATCACATAACCCACACTGGCTGAAATACTCCCTTTCATTCTTTTTGTAAAAAAAAAAGTTACAGAAAGCTCTGTCCTCATTTTTATGTGGTCTCTCTAATAAGACAATCTGTGCATGGATCGCAGAGGCTAAGATGATCTGGCAGTTGCACGCAGTCACCTGGGCTGTCCATTTCAAGCACTGTTTGAACCAGTTTGGTTTGGAAGGTTAAAAGAAAGACTCTCAATCTTGATCCAGGATGCACTCAGACAAAGAGGTGAACAGCGTGGTCCTTTCTATTAGGAACAGCTGGGATGGGATGGGGGGTGGTTTGCCCCCAAATGTAAAGAAGACACTCCTCCCATTTATAAGCCATCCCTACTAGCCATATTTAAATCAGAATCAGGGGTTGACAGCTGATTCTGGGTGTCACGAAAGGGAAGCCTCAGAGCAGGATAGCAACATTAATTTGTTTTGGTACAAACAAGAAATCTTACTGCCACCCTAAAGACTAAGAACTGTTAGTTGACGTGAGTTCATGTGGACTGCAGCCCACCTCTTATTGGTTTAACTTTATTGTTGCTTATTTAACAATTAACTGTAAATATTAGCACATTGATTTTGATGATTGTGATGAAATTACTGTTTAATTTCTTCCACTTATGACCAGAATCCTATTATATACGTCTGCCAGGGATAGGTTTAATAGTGTAAACCTCCATGCCAAGCTGTCACCAGTTAAGAGGTTGAGGCTTGTGCACCCTGTCATATGCCAAGTCACATGACTGGTGCACAACAAGAAATACAAGCAACTCCTCAGATGGCAGCAATGCACCTCTGAGATTTATGTTTTTAAATTTAAGATTGGTGAGTGTAATAGGATGCTGGGCTAGCTTGCAATTTGTGTGATTTTTTTCAGTTGTTCAATGGCAGTATCACCTAACTCTAGCCTTTGCGTAATCCTGGACCACACAGCCTTTTCCTAATTCTTTCTGGGCTAGATTTGCTAATCACCATGAATGCTATTTTTTTCAGTGGAAAAGTGAGACAAAGAAGAAAATATTTTTTAAATTTCCAAGACAAAGAACATTTGTGGATTTCTTACGTCCTTTATCAAATAATTTGGTTTCCTTTGACCTGTTGGTATAAGAAAGTGGTGCATTTATTTCTTTGCCTCAGATAGCAAAAGGGCCTGAAACAGAAGCAAGCCTCACTGAGCTGCTCAAATACTTCCAGCTAAGGAGCCTTGTGGCACAGTGGTTAAACTGCAGTACTGCAGCCAAAACTCTGCTCACGACCCAGGTTCAATTCCAGGTAGCAGCTCAAGGTTGACTCAGCCTTCTATTCTTCCGAGGTCGGTAAAATGAGTACGCAGATCATGGGGTGGAGGCAATGCATCGTTTACATAATTAAATTGTAAACCACCAAGGCAGATCACAGGGTGGGGGTGGAGGCAATGCGTAGTTTACATAATTAAATTGTAAACCACCAAGATAATGCTTTAAGTGCTATGGGGTGGTATAAAGCAGCACACTTTGCTTTAAGGAGGTACAGAATGTACCTTAATTGTCTCAGCGGAATTCCTTTAAACTTACAGGCAGAAGAATCCTTTAAATTCTTCAGTTTAAGTGTTATGGGGCGGTATAAACCAGCACACTTTGCTTTGCTTTAAGCAGGTACAGAATGTACTATAATTGTCTCAGTGGAATTCCTTTAAATGTACAGGCAGAAGAATCCTTTAAATTCTTCAACACACTTCCATGAAACAGGTTTCCCAGGACAGCTGGCATCCCAAAGATTGCTTATGTTGCTGCTGGGACAGGGCGGGTCCTGTGCATGAAAGCACTACCCAACATGTCCACCATTTCATACAGAAAAGATGTAGGGAATGAATGGAGTGTGCTTCTAACAGGAAAAGCTTGCTTTCTTGGATGTATTGAAAGATCAGTACCCTCGCCAGCCTCTGATGTGTTGTCAAAGCAAGATCTCTGTGAAAATTTGCTTAGTTTGCTGCTGGGACAGGGCGGGTCCTGTGCATGAAAGCACTACCCAACATGTCCACCATTTCATACAGAAAAGATGTAGGGAATGAATGGAGTGTGCTTCTAACAGGAAAAGCTTGCTTTCTTGGATGTATTGAAAGATCAGTACCCTCGCCAGCCTCTGATGTGTTGTCAAAGCAAGATCTCTGTGAAAATTTAATATCCTGTTTCAGAAAAGTGCAAAAAGGAGAAGACATAGAGGGGGCAGAGTTACAGGAAAACAGACACTTTTTTTAAAAGACAGTTCTTTCTCAGAACTCCTGGCAATGCAAGGGTTCTACACGCAGAAATAAAAACACGTTTTTCTCCACTGTCATTTCTGTTACCCAGGAAGTGCACTGATCAAAAGCAAAAACCGGAAATTTGGAAATACCAATACTTATTCCAAGCGGCTTCAGACAACACCAGGATTGACTGGTTGATGCTATAGCGCAGGGGAGCACAAATATTTTGGCCCATGGACACACAGAGAGATACAACTCATCACATTTACACACACACACACACAGTTTTCCCTACACATACATAGACACCCCAACAACTTCTACTGATACTGTTCAGTAGCAATAGTGGGATTGGTAAACAGTGAAATAAGATTCACCTGTTCATCCTGTCAGATTCTTTATATAGAATAGAGGACATCTTGTCTTTTGCCTTCAGCCATCAAAATGTCTTAATAGGGACCCCATCTCATCTACATGAACCAGGAAGAAACCCAGGTTGAACCAAGCCAAATTTCTGGGCATATAGGCACAGAATTGTACCATCATACAAATCAGTCCAAATCAAGCAGGCCAATTTGGTTTGAAATTTGTCATTTCTCTAAACGTGGGGCAGAGTTCTAACACTCAATGATACATCTGCTTGTCTACTAAAAAATATTGTACCTACTAAGTTCATTTTGGTTAATTCTAGTGTTTATCCCACAAACATTGATTGAAGATGGACGAACAGCATTACAAATGATATCTGTAGCCTTCATATTGCTGAAAATTGTGCCAATACAGCAGTGTATTTCCAAGACAGTAAGCAAAAGAAAACAGTATTCTTTCTGTGATTGTTTACACGGTTTGATAATTCCACTATCACACTTCATCTAAATGTCAGTTTCCTTTTAATTCTGTTCTGCAGAAATAAACATGAGGACTTAATGACAAATTCTATAAAACTTCAGTCTGACTGACTTGTAAGACTGTCTCTTCCCTCAAATGGCAGTCCTACCTGAATTTGGCATATTCGTGTGGTCTCTTGTTCCATGTGCAGTTCTGTAATTTCCCAACTATCTGCAAATAATAGTCTTCAGAATATCTGAAAGAGAGTAAAACAACGAAGGCATGTGGCTGTTAGGTTCTCGTGTGACACAGTCAGGTAAGAGATGGCAGATCTGGTTCTGGTGTCCCTCAGAAAAAGTTTGAGCCCCCTAAAAAGGCAGCTTGGGACAGAAGCCCTACATAGGATAACTGAGTGGGATTTTGAATAGATATCTGGGCCCTCTTTGTGTCCTTCCATCATCACCATCATAGTACTTCAAAGTTCTGAATTGCTGATTCCTTGTTGGTCTCCAATGATGCTTCCATGTCCACAACCAAAATTAGGTTGTACTTTATAGAAACAGTCTTGCAGGGCTGTCAGAGGCGGATACTCTATCCCAGTGATCCTCAGCTTTGGGTCCTCAGATGTTTTTGGACTTCCTAGAAACCTCAGCTGTTGTGGATAAGGGTCAGGAATTCTGACCCACAACCTTATCAACATCTCCTCAAGAATTTGGACCCACTGATCTGCTTGACAGTATCTTCTTGTTCATCTCTAGTTAGTACTCAAGAGTACATTGAATATTTATGTAAGATTCCTAATCACCTATTGTAATGAGATGCATTCAATTCCTCTCTAAATTATAATAATGATTTCCAAATGTATGCACAGAAATTAACATATTAAAATTAGGAATTAACATATGTAAACAGTTCATCTTTGGGCAACTGTGCTAAAACAGACTAAATCAGAAGTTTCTGGGATTCTGGAGTGACTACAAAGTGGAGGAATGAGCCAAAGGGAACCCAATGGGGTGGAGCAAAATCCCTGCAGATACTTTGCATTTTATATGGAATTCATGGGATTAACAGGTTTTTAACCATTTGAATTGATGGAATGGAAACAGAAAGTCCGAGCCACCGGTGCCAGAGATGAGCGACGGCTAAACCTCCCAATAAAGCCCAAGGTCTTCCTTAGGCAGTCTAACCACCGAGGCGCTATGACTTAAAGTTACCACATCCAGTCTAAACCAGCTGGTAGGTATCGTGTTAAAACTTCATCACTACATCAGACTGCTGGTCTTCCATAGATTTACCCAGGATATACTGTATGTCGCCAAATAAAACTCTTGGAAGTTATCTTTAAGTCTAAGAGATATCAAAGCAACTGGAGTCCTTAAGTCACAAATCTTCCATACTAGAACAATCCAGCTAGGAGTTTTATGAGTGCTAAATCATGACTCTGTTCCATTTTTCTTAAACTCTTGGCTCTTTGTGTCCTTCTCCCTGTATGTCCCATATATCCTGAGGTTTAGAAGTGATTCTCAGCAGCAGCTTTGCCACCCACACATCAGGACTTCAGCCTCAGCAATATTTGCCCAACAGATATCTTCAGCTATGTCATCATTACTTACTGCTACAAAGATTAAATAAAGGAGAATTGAAGAATGAAACTGCTTGCACCCGTGGTTGCAGAAACACCCACTTTCTGTATTTATATCCATCTTGAGATTCAACGGCAATAATAAAAGATGCACCTTCAACATGACCATTTACATCTGGCATAAGCAATTAAAGACTGCAGCTCACTCCTTCAGAGGCCAGTTTATGAAGCATGTGCCAAATATAAAACTTCTTTGACTCCAACCTCAGATATTGCCCCAGTGAAGATTCGTAGGCCGTGAAACCTATTTCTCAGGCATCCTGGAACGATTTCTTTAGAAATGAAATTTAAAGACATTCTGGAACCAACGGTAGTGGGGCAGAGATCTCAAGTGTCTCCTGATTGAGGTTGCCAAGGGTTTTCCAAAGGAGAGGATGGAGTGAGAGCAAAACCTCTGAGTAATGTCCGTCTATTCCAATGAAATCTAGAAGCAGGCACAAATACCAGAAGGCATTTTTTTCACATTGTTCCTTTCCAGCTGAATGTCTATACCAATGAAATCTAGAAGCAGGCACAGATACCAGAAAGCATTTTTTTTCACATTGTTCCTTTCCAGCTGAAAGGAGAACAGAGCTCATTATACATCTCCTGAGCATTTCCTGTTAAAATATACTCTGGTGCAAGCCTGCACTGCAGCAGTTTCCTCTGTGTCTTTTTCTAACCCGCAACTTACATTTACATTCTTTACATTTCATTGTATATTGTTTATTTAGTATAGTTAGGAATAAGATTTAAGATTAGTAGATGCACAGAATAATACATCATAAATCAACACGGAAATATTATTTTAGGTTTAGGCCCCTTTGAGGTATATTAGGGAAATAAGATTTTGTTATATGTTCTATATAGACAGATATATTAAGTTAACTGTGTATGCGACAGAGAGAGAGAGAGTGAGTGAGAGAGAGTGATTTTCATTGGGAGGGTCTGTGTTCTGCTGTAGCAGAATCAGATACTGTTCTTCTTTGGCAAGGGTCTACAGACAGCATGAAAAAGTAGGCATTTGGGGAAGGCTGCAGGAAAGCTGCATGCAGTTTCTACTCAACAGCTGCTACTGAGAGGAGTGAGAGAGGGAGAAGAAAAATACAGCCTAAAATTGCTATTATTTGCTATGGCAAATGAAGTGGGTAATGTGCGTTAAGTTACCTGAAGGACCACCTCCTTCCGTATGAACCTACCTGGCAGTTAAGATCTAGCCAGGGGGCCCTTTTGAAAGAGCCATCCCTCAAGAAGGTAAGAGGGACGGCTTATAGACAAAGGGCCTTTTCGGCAGCTGCCCCCAGACTATGAAACGCCCTCCCAATTGAGATTCGTCTGGCGCCAATGCTGATGACATTTCGGTACCAGGTCAAAACCTTCCTGTTCCAGAAGGCTTTTAACTGAAATAATATCAACTGTGAGTCCTGCTGGAAATTTTTAGAGTATATATTTTAATTATATTTTAATGGTTTTATCTTTTTTTATTGTATTTTAATTGTTGTAAGCTGCCCAGAGACCTTTGGGTAGAGTGGGTGGCATATAAGTTAAATAAATAAATAAATGAAAGAAATAAACAAGTGGCTTCCTTATTGTGAAGGGTAAAAATCATCAAAGGGCAGAGGTTGGGCCACCAGCCCAGAAAAGTACATAGGTAGATGGGCAAATTGTAGGAGGAGAGTGGGAAGCAGGAGGAAGGAGGCACGTGTCAAGAATATGTCCCAGACTACCCTGGATGAACTTGGAGGGTGCAGGAAAAGGATTATTTGTTGCCTAGGGGCGATGATAGCCCTGAATGACCAACCATTCTCTCTGGTGGAGAACACTGATTTTCATTGGTTTGTGACAAATCTGGCATCCCATTGCAATTGCTATCCCAAATGATCTTCAGCCGGAGGGCGATGCCAGATTTATATTGGGTGCCAGGCAACTGGTATAGCAGCAGTTGGCCAGGGTGGTACATTTTACAAGTGACATCTGGAGCAACTAAGGTCCAAAACATACCTGTCTCTTCCTGACAGGACACTGGTGGGAGGTGGACGCATTAGGCATAGGGTAACATACAAGGACAAGGATACAGTGGGCCTTGCTGAATGTGGCTGTGATGGAGGGCAGCCACATAGTTCACAGCATTCAAGAGGCTTTGAGGGACATGCTGTAGCAGTGGAGTCTAGCTACGGAAAGGCAAGGTCTGTTTGTCACAGACAATATGGCCATCATGGTGGCACCACTGCAACCTGGGAAGGTGAAAAGGGTTCAGTATCTGGCCTACACTCTCAATCTAGTAGTTTGCAGTATTTTGTAAGGTATGGAAGACACATGGATACTTAATATAACTGAATGGGCCAGTAAGGTGGCAGGCAATATTCCCTCTAACTTTTAGCCTTGCTGGGCAGGATTCCACCCAACGTTCTGTGTGGGGTTGTGTCACGACCGGAACCAAAGGGGCTAGAAATGCTTGTTGTGGGTGCACAGAAAATGAGGAACACTGCGCCGAGAGGAGTCACACAGCTTAGAGGGAGCCTTGGTGGCAGAGCATCTTCACCACAGCATCCAGGGCAGTGAGCCTTTTGCAGCAGAGGCAAGCAAAACTGGGATTGCTACTGCACCACCTTATCCAGGATGCAGCAACTTGATGAACCTGTATGAGCTTGAAAAACCATCAAAGAAGGGTACCATGGGGAAGGGTGTACAGTCCCCTAGAAAAGCTACTGTTTTTTTCCAATTCTACCTTTAGCAACATTTGAACTCTGCAACTCAATTTCTTGCCACTTCATCAATCATAGTCGGGAACTGCATCACACACCACGGCACAGACTGGCTGCCCGTTTCAATTCACTGGGTTGTGTGGGGTCCCATTCAGCTATGATTCATTGAATGTGCAACCTGATCTAGATGCCCCTCATTTAAATGATTTATGCGCTTAAACAGTATACATTGATCAGAAGCCCCCACCAAAAAGAGGCAGAAAAAATGTTCTCTTTGATGTTTTTGTCATCATGATACATTTTGCAAGGGGAGGAAAAAATTGCAGCCTGATGGAAGCTGGAAAAGAGAAAGACATCTCACAAGAACCCCTCATTGCAAATACAAAATCTTGCTGAACGACGTTATGGTAATTTTTTGCTTGTTTAAACCTGTCAGATAAAAATCAATACATACAGAAGAAAACCCAACAATGACAAGAAAGAAAAGCATTAGCCGTTTGCTGATGGCCTTCTTGTTACTGTGAATCACTGCATTAACATTTATGAGTTTTATGTATGAGAGTGTAGCAGAAACAACTGTTCCAGGGCTTCATGGGGATGGAAGCTGGATAAGCCATACAAATATCCCATAATTGCAATAATGCAGGGGTTTGAACTGGGAAGACCAATAGTTAACACAAAAACAAACAAGACAGGCAGCTTTGCATTTAGAAACTAAAACATTATCTCAATAGGGACATAGTCCTCCAAGTTGCCCTGTCTTCACAATCAACATGCAACCAGTCACCAGAGAAAAGCAAGCTAATTTGATGATCAATCACTAAACAAAAGCCAGTTAGTTTGCAAGCTGCAAAGGCTTAAAACGATATAGAGGCTAATCAGTTTTTGTTTTATCATTCAAGACAGTGCTTCTTCTAATTGCAGAGTTGCCTCTATATTCTGTTTCTGTCCTTAAGATGGTGGGCCAGTTGAGCATGAGTGAGGTTTGGGCTAAGAGCACTTCCTGAAAAAGAAGAAAAGGCCAGCCTATGCAACTGGCAGGCAGTCTTAGATTGGCTATGCCAAAGACTGGGGAGGCCCTAGGCATAATATCCTCTACTAGGTCCTCTTCTTCAGTGATAGGGCTTGGTGGACTTTCCTAAGATAGTTCCAATCAGCAGTGAGGCTAGCTGCCATTAAGGATGTGCTGTTTGTGTTAATTTTTTACTACAAAAAAATGGGCAACGGACACATCATACATGGAACCCCTCAGGATTATGACCCTGGTCTTGGGACGTGACCAAATAAATTTTTTTGAAAAGAAGCCCTACCTTTTCTTCTTGAGAGATGATGACCAATTGTTGTTCCACATCTCTTTGCATTTGGAGGCTTGCTCTGTCTTCCGAAAGCTGGCTTGATTAGGAGTTGTTCTGTTCATATAAAAAGGAAAATCCATCTTTGAAAGAATAAAGAACGGTCTTGGCTGCCAGACAATGAATTGCTGTGAAGCAAAGATAAGCAACAGCTCGAGTTTGGGAGGGGAAGAAACGCCAGTAAAACCTGCTTCACTTTCATTCTTCAGGTTGAGTCTAGAGAAGGGATGCGCTGACTTGCCACCACAAACATATTCAGTTAAAAACACACACACAAAGATGGGTTGGGTGCATTGTCTGGATTCTGATGTAAATCAGGAATATAATGTTTTTTTTTAACAATATGGAAGTCACTTGTAGCCTCAGCATAATTACTTTTCAGAAATGTGTGGGAGCATTTTAAAATAAATCTGAATAGCTTTTACACATCTAATCCCAAGGTGCTGCTTGCAAGAATAAATGTAAACTACAGATAACACAATAATACTTTATTTATTATGTTGATATTGTGTCTTTCTTCTATAATAAAATACAAAGAGAACTTATGCAGGTGGCCCCCTCCACATAATAACTCAGACCTACTTCGTATCTGCAAAGTTGGTACATTAGGTATGTTATGCCCACATTCTGGGCCTTTGGGATGGAACCGTGCCGTGCTTTGAATCCGGCATTATCTGAAGCATGGTAGAGTAGGAAGATTAGGCAAAGCACAGGGTTCATTGGAAGGAAGGCCAACCCTGGGATGTGAAAACTGTAGCATACTTCGGAGCCACTTCCATTCTTGATTGTACATCATTGAGTTTGTAGCTATGAGGGATAAGGAAGTTGGGGGGGGGAATCAGCTATTCCTGGGCTGGCTCAGGATGTCCTGCTTTGGTTGGTCTTTCCATGCGGTTGAATGCCTAATCTTAGACAATAGTTGGGACAGGAGAGGTGGCGGGGGAGATAGTTCAGTGAGTTGGGCCTGTGGCTATGGAGCCAGAGGTTGGGGATTCGATTCTTCTCAGGGACTCCTGGGGGAAAAGCCATCTGGGTCACACAGTATTAGGGCTGGTGGGTTGCCTGCCTTTGACCTTAACCAAAGAAATGAATGACAACTATCTTAGAGAAAATAAAGTGGTATGCTAAAAATAAAGAGAATGTTGTATGCTGGCCCTTAGACGGACCGATGAATCATATACATCAAACCATGAAGAGTACTGTACTCTGATTGCAGCAGTATTAAACACCCATAACAGGGTAGCAGAGACAACTAGAATCAATATGACAGGATGTAAGCACTTAACAAACAAATGGTGCTATCCTGGCACACCATTGTCCTACACCTACATCAGTGTTATGTGCTGTCGTCAGAAACGGGCATATCAGCTCAAATCTCAGACTGGATGGTACAAAGTATAAAACAGGGCTAAAGCAAATACATTCCAGCTGCTGCTGCCAGAGGCATTCTTATGTCCTAATAATGATGGCAAGCTTTAAATAAAATCAGTGATTCTATATAGCTAGAAAACAAATAGCCTGGAGTTACACAACTCACTTCTGTTCTAGTCTCTAATGGTGGTGGTGGGGAAGGTTGCCCTGAGAACCCTGGTGGAAAAAAAAGAGTAATCAGCAGATACTTAATAAGTAAATTAAAATACTTCTAAGATCCAAAAGTTGTTTATGTGCTTATTTGTTTGGAAAACAGCTACATTATAGCTGGCAAGTACTGTATTTCTTAGAGCAATGCCGCCTTATTCAATTGCAGTGCAATTTCCCATTTTCAGATGTTGGGTGACTAGAATATGGTTACTACCCCCTCCTTAAAAACAACAACAACCCTACATTCTGATACTGCAAGAGTTCTGGGACTTGCCATCCACACTATAGGAACAAAAAAAGACCGACCCTAGAACACAAACACACACACAGTGCATGCCCCTTTCTGCATGGCTAGCCTAGGCTGTAGGAACAAAAAAGACCAATTCTAGAACACAAACACACACACACAATGCATGCCCCTTTCTGCATGGCTAGCCTAGACTAGTTTTGCTGTTGCACACCAGGAATGAAATGGCACCTCCTCTGCCCATCAAGTACAGGAGAAAGGCTGGCAGATAAATCTAATTTATCCTTCACTACACTCAAAGGCAACAAGCCATCTTAAGGTACAACTCAAGAGCAAGAGACAGCTGCTCTGTCCCTCCAGTACCTTCTTTTCCAGCATGTGTTCCCTGAGAAGAATTCTTCTGCCTAATGGTGGTGCCAGCCCTGCCTTTATTTTTGCAAAAGGTTTCTCCCTTGTTTCAAAAACTACAGGAAAGTCACATTTCCAAGCTGCTGTCAAGTGTTCCACCATCTCCTCCTCCTCCTTGTCCTCTAGTGAGCAGTTCAGTCATCCCCTTCTAAATGAAACAGTTGTTGGAGATGCCCTCCAACAGCTGGCCTTCCTCGTTTCCAAGCTTCTGTCAAAGTGTTTCACCATCTCCTCTTCCTTGTCCTCTAGTGGGCAGTTCAGTCATCCCCTTCTAATTGAAACAGTTGTCGGAGATGCCCTCCAACAGCTGGCCTTCCTCAAATCCAGAATTCAGTTCCTATTTGTGGTTTCAGTGTCTCATCTCCCCCACCTTGCCATCCTCAAAATAGGCACTTTCCATCAAGTTTTTCCAACGTCCTTCCAAGCTATTGCATTTTATCACATGCCTTTTGACTGAGTCAGCTATTCTAACGCTGGAGGAACCCAATATCATTTCCTCCATAGGATCCATGCTTTCAACTTCTTAAGTATTTTGTAGCTAATTTTGTTGAATTAGATAATGAGCCTGCATTGCTATTTTAAGGATCATGGCACTTTGATTAATAAGGTAATATGCAGTCCTAAATGCTGGGTGAATTGACCATAAAATCTTAAACTGCAGAACTAACTATTTGTCTTATAACATTAATCATGGCAAGTGTAGAAAAGAGATACCCTGACTCTCAATTGGTTTTCTTCCAAACAGAACTCCTGCAAATGTTTCGACTAAGTAAAAGATATGAAGTCAAGGCTTGGTTGTCTTTCATCTCCCCTCCTGGGTCAAGATAATTATCTTATCTCACAGAGTCTTCACAAGCCAAGGCTCCTGTGCAATCTGAGGGGGACGCTCCCCTCAGAGAAAGCTGTAATGAGGCTCAAGAAGCAAAACTTTTTTCCCCCTCCAAGGCAGCGGTTGAGGTTGATCAATTACTTGTGTCCAGGGATTTTTGTAAGAGGTTATGTGTGGACCTCTATAGCTCGCCCACATACATTTTTCCTGTTGAGAGATGCCTTTCCTTGAGGTAAGCTGTCAACAGTTCTTGTGGTGATGGGAAGGACAGACGCTGGTAATAGGTAAGGCCAGAGTCCAAAGAAGACAGGGCAATCTCTACCCCCATCATTTTCTCTGCATCCCCTTCCTTCTCTCTCTTTATCAACATTTCCTTCTCTTTCTTCCTGCTGGCCTCTCTCTCTCTCTCTCTCTCTCTGTGTGTGTGTGTGTGTGTGTGTCCCCATCTCCTGCACATGCCCCTTTCTGTTTCTCCCACATATTTCTGACCAGGGGAAAGACAGATGGCTTTTTCCAGAAGAGCTGAACCAGTGCAGAAGATTTTTGGAATTAAGCCTGGGGTAAATGCATTGAATTAGACCAGGGACTGCTCAGATCGGGAGACTGTCTCTAAGTTTCCCTCTTCAAAGAACAAGCCTCTTTTCTTTTCTTTGGTGGGGGGAGAGAAGGTTTGAATGAGCCAGCTCAGCAAAAAAGGCTTTATGAAATCAGAGTTGCAGCCACAGAGAGCAGGCACTACTGAATACTGCATGCACTGAGAGCATTTCAGGGTTTGATTTTTGGCAAAAATGTGAGGCTGCTCGGTGCTGTTTGAATGCACCGGAAAGATGTGGACTGCAGATCCATCACCATTGGTTCTGTTGACTAGGATGTATGGAAGTTGCAGTTTGACAACATCTGGAGTCACAGTTGCTCACCCCAAATTGTGACGTAGGGATTGGTTATGGGAAATAATGGACTCTGAAAGCCCCCAAAGGCATTTGAAGTGATACAGCACTGCAGGTAGTGCAGCTAAGCTCTATTCCAAAATAAATCTGCTAAGCCCCCTTCTCCCATTCCAGCCTGTGGTCTTCAGGGGCTGCCTGTCCAGTCACAACAGAGATACAGTTAAGGCAACAAATTGTAAGGGTCACAAAACAGGGTCTCCTAATGGCTTTGCATTCAAGGTCAAGCCAAATATTACAGTGGCAGCAAGCAGAGGGCTTGGCGTGTTGCTTTCCATAGTCCTAGGGGGAACTGTGAGCATATATCATCTTGTGAGACTTCAAGCTGAAAAATAGATGGAAGAATGTGACCAAGATGGTGCAGTAGCTGGAAATGACAACTCAGGAGGAGCAGTTGAGGAAGCCGGGTAGGTTTAACATTGAGAGGTGATGATTCAGAGGTGATATGATAGCCACCTTCAGTTATATGAAGGGCTGTCACATGGAAAATAGAGAAAGTTTGTTTTATGCTGCTCCAGAGGCCAATGCCTTCAAATGACAAGAAAGCAGATTCTAAATAAACTTGAGAAGGATTGTCCTGATAGTAAAAGAAATTTGCAAACAGAACAGTAGGTGGTGGACTCTACTTCACTGCAAGTATTTTTAGAAGGCTGTATGGTTCTCTGTCACAGATACATGAGCTGTGGATATGCTGCTTCAGCATGAAGCTGAATACGATGATATTTGGGTCCTTTCCAGATCAGCAGTCCTGTGATTCTGTGATCCCTGACCATTGGCCATCGTAGCTGGGCTTGATGGGAGTTTTTTTTTACCAAACTCCAGAAAGCTCTTCCTTTCATAGGCTATCTTCAAGAAATATTCTGGTAGAAAATAATAATATTAATGGTAGCTGTCAGTTTAGTACAGTTCCCAGGCTTTGCTGAGCACCGCACACCACAGTCTATTACTAAGTAACTATTCCTGTACTTTGCAATAACTATTTTACCCTCAGGGACACAATATGTTGACATGAGAAAGAACACAGAGGTCTCTGTAGCACAGTTAATAA